GTCCCCCCCCACTGCCCGCCACCCCTGCCCCCAGCCTTCCTGACCCTGTCACGCCCCACTCCTCCCCAGCTGCCCTGCCATGGATTCTCCAAACTGCATCAGATGGACAGCTTCTGCACTGGACTTTGTTCTCGTTCACCTTCAGGGCATTGAGCTGCTGCCTTTGGGATACCCCTGGGTGTCAGGGGGCAGCCGCCTTAGAAACACACCTATCTATCTCCCCAAATCAGGAAAGGAGACTTTTAAGAATATAAAGCTGACCTTTTGCTTTTTAATATAAGAGAAAAAAAAAAGACATTTTCAAAGAAGTATAAGATAACTGTCTCCACTCCTTAATAATTTTTTTCCTAACATTTTAGCAGTTTTTGCCTTTTTTTTTTTTTTTCTTCAAATTTGGTTTAGACTCTGCTAGGAGGCACTGAATGTCTATAACTTATATTTTGGAGAGTTTTTTGTGGTTTTTTTTGTTTTTTTTTTTTTGGTTTGCCCTTTTTGTTCCTCAAGTCACACTGTAAACGAGCTCATCTCAGTGGTGTATTCAGTATCCTGAGGTTTTTATCAACCTTCCCTGTACAGCCCAGTTTTCCTGTATTTGAAACAGCCAAGACTGTGAACTTGGCCGTGCTGTTTGGAGACCAGGAGAGGTGTTGGAGTCACAGGTCTCGCAGACGTGGGATTTGGTGGAAGCCATAGAGAAACATGTGGCTTAGGAGTGCTGACTGTAAGTGGAAGACCGCCCTCCTGGCTCGCTGTGTCTGGTACGCGAATGTCTGATTTCTATACCCAGAGTGCATTACACTACTTGCCGCGTCACTGACCCTTCCGGCTCAGCAGGGAATCCTGAGTTGATCCATGTTCACATCCATCACACCTCAGACCCTCAACCTCCTCTTCCTTCCCAGGACCCCAGAGATTCCGGGTGGTCCACTACCCACGGCTCTGGGGGTCCCCAACATGAGCCTCAGCCCTCCTTCCAGGATGGTAGTTGAGCATGGTGCCTTGCGGGCCAAATGACAGATGTTTGAAGGTGGAATGGCATTAGGCCACATTCAACTTGATGCTGTGAAAGACGATTTTAGGCTTTTCTTCCTCTGTGAGCGGTTTTTGTTCCACACACTTAGCCTAAATGCCAACACGGTGACCCTTTCCCCTCTCAAGAGGTGGTCTTGTCAGGATCAATGCTCAGCCTCCCACCCCACTTCTCAGTGAATATATAAGGTGGTCCCATGTCCCCTCGGTGCCCACCATCGCTGGGGGGGGGCGCCATTTGCAAAGGCACATTCTACCATCCTGGGGGGTTGACCAAGTCCACATCCCTCCTTAGTAATAAAACATTGTTCAACTGCGAGATACCTCGATTTCAAAAAGCACTGTACAACAGCCCTCTCCCCCCGCCCCGGTCCATGGCAGTAACGTTGGGGAAGTTAAGTTAATTTAAAAACTCAAGGCTTAGGATCATGGACCAGAACACTGTCCCAGGTGCCAAGCCTGTTCAGTTTGCCTCATGAGAACTAACCCTCCGCGTCTTGGACATACTGAAATGCATCCCAGAGGGTCATTTCCACGTTCACTGCAGCAAGCCATGGTCTCAGGAACCACCATGCCATTTCCTCTCCCGGAGAAGTTCTGGGCACGTACTCCACAACATTTCCAAGGGGTTTCACACCGTCAGAAGAGCCTCTTATCTGCACTGGACCGTCACCTCGTGTCACGTCCTGTAGTACATGGGAGCATCGACAGGCTATTTGATGAGACTTTGGGAGACATTCCAGAAGGGGGCTGCAGGCTTGTTGATGGGCGAGATGCCTACAACCAAAGGCCTCCAGCCTTGCTGCCGGGGAGACCTGGCACTCTGAGCCACACAGGAGGGTGGAAGCTGCCGGTGTTGTGTAGTTGGTGGGAGTCAAGCCTCGGAGCCCATCCTCTCTCTCCTTTTGAGCGGGGAGCTCTGGTGGTCTTGCCTCATTTTCGGGGCCACTCAGCAAATCGGCATTTCACTGTCTTGCAAAGCCATCAGGACCAAGCCCAAGTATCAGTGTCCTTCTTGGAACTCGGGGATGTCTGCCCTCCAGCATGAAGTTTCGAGGAAGTCTTCACCAAATTCCAGGTATCGAGTTACACATGTCACCTCCTGTTCTGTCCCTCCTTTCCACCTCAGTTCGATCCTTAGGGCTTGGCTTGCTCTGCAGAGATGAAGTCAGTGCCACTAGGTTTCTGAAGGCTGTCTCCTGGCACTGCCTTGTCCAGGTACGGGCACAGGGTGGCAGGTAGTCATTCTCTCTTCCAGTCTTTCGTTCTTCAGACACTGTTGTTGCCAATAGGAAGGGCTGTACCAAGGTGCCCCCGCCCTCCGTCTGCTTTCTCACGCAGGCAACTCGCATACTGCAGATCCCCTTGCAGTGAACAGCTTAATAAAACCCAAAGATCTCACAGGCCCAGCCACTGGCCCCTCATCTCCAGCAATATCCACCCTATCCAAATTCTAGCTCAGCCAAAGGATTGAGGTCGGCTCTTCCAGCTCATCTCCTGGCACCTAGCCTGACATGGACCTTCAGAAAGTTTCTGTCTTCTGCCTCCAAGTTCTGTGACCACTAACCACTATGGAACTCTGCAGCTCAAGGCGGTCGATTGCCTGCTGACTTGGACGCAATTTGCCAGAAGCATGTGATTCCCAGGACAGAAGGGGCCTTGCTGCTGATATGCATGGACCCCAGCGAGGGGGCGGAGAAAACACACCTCCACTCCGCAGGATTTTCCCGCCTCCTCTGAGGTCAGTGGGCTTCACCACCAAAGCCCAAGCCAAGGACCATAGCCTCATGGATGGGGCCACAGATGTGGAGTAACCGAGGGGTCTCTGCTCCACCAAGAGCAGGCATGCCATCCCAGTTGTCATGAATGGATGCCCGGACTTGTGTCGACATGGTTCTTCTTCCCTCCGCCCAGGTCCACCAGCCAGGCCTCCCTCCAGATGGCAGCTGGGAACCAGTAAACAGAGGGGCCATCAGATGAAGCCCCGTTATGGCTCCTCTTCATTTCAGGGTTCATGGCGTAGAAAACCACCTACTGTGTCTGTGAGCAAGGACACTGCCATCACCCTGCCTGGCAGCTTCATGGTTGGCATCTAGGCTTTGGCTCTTGGCTGGGAAAAGGATGCTGAGGTTTCCTGGTGAGGAGAGAACAATCCGATGACACAGTCGAGAAAGTCTGCATCTCCCGATTTCTGGGAAGGACTCAGACGTCAGCTCTGTAGGCTGGTGAGCCTCCTTCAGCTTGCTCTTTTCTCTCCTGCACTTTCAAGAAACACCAGAGAAAAACTCTGCAAGGCATGTTTTCCACAGTGAAGCTGGCCCTCTGCCCTTAGGGGTCACCCAGGTTTGTGGTTGAACTTGGACTAAACTCCTTGGAAAGTGGGCGCCTAAAGAGCTGTTGGGGATGCCGCAGGCACTCTCGGAGGCCACAGGTTCACAGGGAAGGTTTGGAACAAACCTGGGATGCTGACGGAGAAGGGAGGGCCCATGAGGAATGACCCAGAAGGGGACAGTACTGGGAAGTTGCCATGACGACGGGTGTGCTGGCAAAGATGGAGTGAGGAGGCATGCAGGGCACAGCCGAAAGTCTCCTCCTGCCCGTGTGGAGCTGGGCAAGTTCACAGCCCTGCCCTTGCCTGGGGAACAGCGGCAGCTCCTCTGTGCCTGGGTTGTTCCTGGGGGAGGGCTTCCAGAAAGGCTGCTGGCTTAGAGGAAACCAAGAGGCTGAGTAAGGCTCAGGCTGTCCCCTGGAGACAGTAGTTAGGGAGGGGGGCTCCTGTCTGGGCCCTGCCGGCCCCACCTCGGCCCCCTCTATCCAGTCGGGCCCGTGTTAGAACTGGGAAGGGGCCTGCCCCCTCGTCACTGTGGCTAATGTTTGCTAGGCCAGTTATGGTGAACCAATGATACAGTGTTCTCTCTCTTATGTTTCCCCTCCCAGTTTTCCCTTCTCGGGGTTTTCTGGAGGATTTTGTTGTTTTTCTTCCTCTCTCGTTTGGGTTTGAGGATCCTGGTTCGTGGCGCCCCATCGTTCTCTAGAGGGGCCCTGTGGTTTCCGTGCAAAGAGGCACCTGCTCCCGCTTTGATGAGGGTGAAGGGCATCGGGTTGCTATTTGTGTATTCATGGCCCCACCGCTGCCACCACCATGGGCGTTGCTTTAAAGATTCAACTCCGGTACCAAGAAGATGTGCTAGGTCTGCAGTTGGGTGTCAGCATCAGGACCCACCAGGGGCCTCCCCACCCACACGTCCCACCGGGCACCTTCGACTCTTCGAACCAAAGTTCCTTTTAGGGGCACAGCCCAGCCTTGTCTGCAACCTCAGGGGCCTGGGGTCCCCATGGCGCTTCCCGAAGTCCAGGTTGGTGGAGACCATGAAGTCAGAGGCCAGCCGGAAGGGGGCTCCTCCCACAACCCAGGTGCCAGCCGGTCCCCACCCAGGACCCTTCCCTCCCACCCAAACGGGGTCCCAGACGGGGTAGCCGGGTTCCAAAGCGGTGAGCGAGCTCGTGGACACAGGGCTGGAACTTGCCAGCCAGGAGACAGAGGTCCCGCGGGGCTGGAAGCTCCCAGACCCACTGGGCAGTGTGTCCAGGGCCATTCAGATTCCAAGCATCAGGAGGTCATTTTGTACAACCACCTGAAGCAGAGATATTTTTTAAAGAGCATAAATTATTTTCAGTTGTTCTCTGATGACCCTACCTTTTTTTTTTTTTTTTGCCCATAACTTCATGTCGGTGATTCTTTCACATCAGGTAAATCTTATGAAAGCCTTGGTGCCCCCTCCCTCCCAGGCCCCCCTCAGTAACCACGTGTGTGCACCCCCCATTCTTTCTCAGTAGTTAAAGACGTTCTAGGCAATACCATGGGCACATCTGACTGTGTCTCTTCGAGTGCAAGAAACTCAAGTCATCTTAAAAAAATACAAAAAAAAAAAAAATTTACAAAAAAAAAAGAAACACACAAAAAAAATATCTTTTTTAGGCCAGAGTTTTCTACAGGTATTAATGAATATTTTTCTTAATCCTTATAAGTTTTATGTGTTTAATATTTCTTAATACCGGTAGCATTAATTTATACTTTTGTAGCAACACAATATTTTTATAAACAGCCAGTGCTTGGCTCAAGTCTCCACAAGGGGTTTGTTCAGGGTTTTCTTGGGACCCTGTGTACCATGTACTGTATTTAAAAAAAAAAAAAAGTTACCTAGTATCACCCTTGCTGTGTTAATTAACAAAAGACGTTGTTTGCGGTCTCTGTGTCGTTGTGGATCCAGCAGCTCTGCAAGGAGTCACTTTGCATGGGGGTTGAGTTGATGGTTCTTGTGATTTGTAAACCCCCGAGACCAAACTTGAGGGTTTATTTAGGGTTTTCTGTTTGTCCTTTGGGTTTTCGGTTTCGTTTTGGTTTGGGTACCGTTTCTCCATTTATAGCCAAATCAGTTTTGTGGTGTTTAAAACTTTTACTGATGTCAAATGGAGGAAAGGAACAGAAAAAAAAAAAAAAAGAGATTTTTACAGAGTAATAAAATTTAAAACTGAGCTGTTTAAATGTTTGCTGTTTTTACCTGTCTGTTCTTGTCCAAAAGTGGGACATTCCCAGGGTGAAGAGGAAGGGTCCACTTGGTTCCTTAAATCGCCAAAAGCCCCAGTCCAGAATTCAACACCCCCTACCCTCCTCCCCCGGATTCTTGCAACATTATTTCCCGGTTGGTTGATGCCAAGGCAAAAGACATCCTTTTAATGGTTAGAGAGAATCAGTTGCTTAAATAAATGATTTCATGTCAGTGTTGTATTTATGGTTTTACAATAAAACGACCTTTAGGAAGATGGCAGTGCGTGGTGTTATTTCTTGGGCTTGGGGTTGGGCCATGTCGTCCAGGCAGGAGCAGGGCGCTAGAGAGCAGAGATGTCGCCTGGGGGTGACGAAGCTGGAGTCCATCCCGAGGGGACATTGGATGAGGTCGGGGTGACCCTGGACAACAGAGCCGGGCCAGTGATATCTGACAAATGAGGCCCAAGAGCATGTGGCCTCCTGGGCCTTGCCCTTGAGCGCTGTCCCGGGGAGGAAGGGTGGCCCAGGCCCCAAAGAGCACACCCAGCTTTGCCTGGACCAGTGCCTTTTATGTGATGTTGTGGGTTGTGTGTACCGTCCCATTTTCTGAGGAAGGGTGCTGTGGCTTTTGCCAAGTTCCAGATGGCATCTGTGACTGAAGAATCAGTGGGAGCTGTCAGAGACACATTCAAACCCAGTGTCTGGACACACTGTCTCCAATGCGGTCCACCCCAGGAGAGGTGCAGACAGAGCCCAGACACCTCACTGGGTGCACACGCGGAGACTGGTGGGCCTGCCAGGCAGCCAGGCCAGGTCCCTTGGGTGCCCTCCTCGCTGTCCTGAAGCTCCGAGCTGCGTCCCGATGTGGCAGCCCACCCAGGCTCCCCAGTGGCTTCCTCACTGCGTCCCCTTCCCTGAACCTCCCTCCCCATTCGCTGACTGCTGAAACGCTGTCGTCCTCCGAGCCAGCCCCCCAGACATCTCTCCCACTCCTCCAGGACGGAGTGACGGTCGCCACGCACCTGCCCGGAGTTAGCGCACCCATCTCCTAAGTGAAGCACACGTCCACGTGCGCCTTGCCCTGCGGTCACTTGCAGGCCTCGTGCTCCTTCGCCCCCCGGCATTGGCCTCCAGACCACATGTGTGGAGCTCGAAGTGTCTGCGGAAGGGTGTCTGGCCCTGCCAGATTTCCCAGGGCGGCCATCGCTCTAGCCAGGTTAAGAATCAGCGCCCGCCACAAGGGCCCAGCCAGGGTGGACTCGCCCTGAGCCTCACGCTGCAGACAGGCTCATCGACACTTGGCTTGGATAGTCGGACTGAAGGCGTGTCTGTGACAGCACCACCAGAAGGCGGCTGCGGCCTGAGCCGGGAGCAGGGAAGGAGGGGTGACAGCTTCTCCTAAAGCAGACCTGCTGTTGCTAGAACAGCCAGCGCCTTGGGCTTCATCCCTGTCCTTCACCAATACAGTCCGTCAAAGTAAAAAAAGTTGCTCAGGCGTGTTCGACTCTTTACGACCCCGTGGACTACACAGCCCATGGAATTCTCCAGGCCAGAATACTGGAGTGGGTAGCCTTTCCTTCTCAAGGGGATCTTCCCAACCCAGGAATCAAACTGGGGTCTCCTGCATTGCTGGCGGATTTCTTTACCAACAGCTGTCAGTGCATTCCCCTTAAAAAGGGTGCACTGTTAGGTCAGTTGAACAACTTCCATCAATCAGATCGCAGGGGTCACAGCAGGAATGGGCTGTGAGCCTGGGCCAGCCTCCCAGAGGCATCAGCCCTGCCCTCCCCTTCTGCGGGAGTTTCCTGCTGTTCAGCGTACCATGTGGATGTCCTAGAGCCGGTGGGTGAAGTTCAACCAAGGAGTTTCTATGGGCTCTGAAACAAAAGTCAGGAGACCTGCTGGAGCAAAAAGACTCCCCCCTACCCCCACTTCAGAATACCAGGATCCAGTAAGGCCAGGGCGTGGCCAGAGCCTTGGTATGGCTGAGGGGCCAGCCTCTGGATTTTAAAATTAAGAAACAAAAACCACATTTTTCTAAGTAGCCACGTCTATGTTATAGAAGAGATGAGTGTGACCTGTATCTTTAAGAGAAAATGTGAGATGAGACGGTTTAAGAATCAAACAGGTGGGGCTTCCCTGGTGGCTAAGCGGTAAAGAATCTGCCTGCCAGGGCCAGAGACACGGGTTCAAGCCCCAACCTGGAAAGAGCCACATGCCTCCGAGGAGCTAAAGGCTGTGCGCCACAGCTTTTGAGCCTGTGCTCCAAAGCCTGGAGGCCCCAACTACGGAGCCTGCATGAAGCAGCTACTGAAACCCAAGGGCCCTAGAGCCCCTGCTCCTCAACAACAGAAAAGTGAAAGTGGAGTTGCTCAGTCATGTCCGACTCTTTGCGACCCCATGGACTGTAGCCTACCAGGCCCCTCCATTCATGGGATTTTCTAGGCAAGGGTACTGGAGTGGGTTGCCATGTCCTTCTCCAAGCCACTGCAGTGAGAAGCCCATGCACTGCAATTTAGAGTTGACCCCGCTCGCTGCAACTACAGCAAAGCCCGTGTAGCAACAAAGACCCAGCACGCCCAAAAATAAAAACAAACAAACAAAAAATAGGTCATCAGAGCGTTTGGCTGGGAATGCTTCTGGTGCCTTCTGAGATGAGGGGACTCCTGACTGGAGGAGTCCCCTGAGGTGGTAAGATCAGATCCAAGGGAATTTTGTGTAGTGAAAGTTTTAGCACGTGTCTTGGAGACGTGTCTCCAGAACCAGGCAGGGTGGCGGCAGGGGCTGGTGACCCTCAAGGGCAGCTCCATGTAAACGGGCCATGTCAGTTCAGCTCCTGCACCTTAGCATGCAGGATGCAGGCCCAGGGCTGTCGGAATCTATTTTTCAAGAAAACTGAGAAACTTAGATTTTTATATGGACTTTCTTTTTTTTTTTTCGGTCATGCTGCGTGCTATGCGGGACCTTAGTTCCCCAACCTGTGTCCCCTGAAGTGGAATTGCAGAGTCTTGACCACTGGCCTGCTTGGGAAGTCCCCAAGAGGTCCACTTTTAAATGGTGAATTCAGAACTGTGAAATAGATATCTTATGAGCCAAAAACTCCCATCCACCAGGTGAGCTGAGGGTGGCTGACCCATCTGTGGCTGGCATCCTCTGCTTTAGGCATTTGTCCTTTGGGTCACTTCAAAATATCCCTCTTCAGAGTGGTACCTTCAGACTGCTGTAGATGGTGGCCCCAGTGCATGAAGCGTGCATGGAAGGGCAGGTATAGACAGATGCAGGACATGAGGACATGAGGACATTTGTGAGTTGCAGCCTGGAGAGCCTGTCACGTCTCCCTGTGTCCCTGTCCCCAACTCCAGCCACTTCTGTCACGACAGAGTCCCGGCTACACCCACAAATGCTGTCCCTCGGGAATCAGGAAGCCCCAAGCTCAGGGCTTTGGGGAAAGAAAAGAGGAGTCTCTTATGTGATCTGATCAAGAGGGCTGCAAAGCTGTCTCCACGCAGAATCCTTGCCTCTGGGTTTGTCCCCTCCACCGGAGATGTGCAGTGCCCACCGTTCTCCCTTCCTGAGGGTCTCTTAATCCAACGGGCTAATGGCATGAAAGGGACTCTTGACCAAGTGAGCGGCCAGCCCTTAGCATGCTGTTTACCCCACGGGGAAGAGGTGCTGTCTCTGCCTAGATTTCTGCTGCCAGGGTCAGCGTTCCATTTCAGCACACACGAAGCTGGGATTTTTTTGGCTCTCTCAGCAGCAGCAGTCCTCAGGGCTCTGAGCGGATGGAGCCAGAAAGAGGTGTTTATGAATCTGATGTTTGTAGATCTGGTGTGCGTGAGCTCCTGGAGTCCTGTGCTTGGACCAAATTGGTGCCCAAGCCATGCTAGACAGTCTACCCTCTCTCTTCCTCCAGGGAGGAGGGGAAGCTGGGCTAGACCTAGGACTTGCAGCTTAGTCCAGGGCCAGATGGTTGTCCTGGACACCGTGAAAAGGACAATTAATAGTCTCCTTCCGGGGCCAAGGGCCAGAGCAAGGATGGCAAGAGATGGGGTCTCCAGGGCCCATGCGGAAGAGCAGCCTGAGACTTTCCAGCAGCTGCAGCTGGGGATAAGGCTGTGAACAAAGCAAAAGGCTGCAGGGGGGCAGGCGGGGCGGATTCGGTGTGGCCAAGGGCAGGGGAATTCTTCAAGGCACTTGTGGGCATTTACCTGACCCCCCTGGGCACACACTAGGCATGGTAATTTCTTCTGACCCTGGGCCACTTCTGACCCATGACCTCCATCAAACCTCTCCAGGAAACAAGTATCCAGAGTTGCTCCCTCTTTTCTCTCCTGGCTTTATTAAAACAAAACAAAATAATCCCATTTTATACAGAACTGTGATTTATGTTTCACAATTTGCATAGCCAATTTCATGTCCTGAAGATGGCTCTATTACATTTCCCACACACACATTTTTCATTTCTGGGGAAAGTTCATGCCCCCTCCCCAGCCGGTCTCCTCCTCCCTTCCCCCCAATCTCATTATACTTTGTGATGAACAGTCAGGACATGGAATTTCAGGAGTCTACAATTCGGTTTTTATTGGAACCTGCAGCAGGGCTCTGGGGCAGACTCTGACCCTCCCACTTCCTGCTGCCTTGTGGAGTGGCCTCCGGGCCGGTCAGTTGGAGAAGCGCAGCAACTCCTCATCCCCTGTGGACACAGAGAGGCTTGGGGAGTAGGTGTGGGGTCACCCAAGGGTCTGTGGTTGGGGGTGGTCAGGGCATGGGGATGCCTCATGGAGGAGGGAAGGCAGCCTGGACTGAGTTCGAGCCTGAGCCTGAGGCCAGAAACTTCTGCTTGCAGGGTGACTTGGTAACTCCAAGATGCATTCCACAGGATGACCTGGTTTTTTGCCTCCTGATTTACTTTAGGCACCGTTTTTCCGGTGGGGAGACAAGGCACATAAATCTTCAATGGCTGCGGCTTCTTGGAATGCTCTTCTTGTTATCATCACAGCATTACCACCGTTACTAGTATGGGCTGCTGCTAGAAGGGTATGAACCAGGCGAGGCACTGTGCCGCCTAGGAAGTGGGTCCTTTGTCCCACTTTACAGAAGAGAAAACTGAGGCTTAAATTGGTACAGCCTGCGGGGCCACAAAGGGGCAGGCATGACTGAGCACGAAGCACTGTAACAGGGACAGACATGGATTGAGACGGTCCAGAGATCTGAGCCTTCAGGAAGCAGTGGCTGGCAGTATTTGAATCATGTGAGTAACGATGTGGCCAGCCCGAATGTGGCAATGAATGCCAGGATTGGAGCCCAGTTCTGCCCACTCAACCCACCGCCTTGCCCTCTGCTCAGGCCAGCACCTCCCCCCAGGTGCCCCATCCCAGCTGGGGTAAGGCCTTGGGCTTGGCCCCATTTTACAGGTGGGAAGCTGAGAGAGTGGGTGTGTTGGTCACCAGGACAGAGTCCAGAACTCAGCTCTCCAGACCCCTGCCACCACCAGGGCTCCCCGACCCCCACTCCGGTGGCCCCCAGCCCCGCCCGGCATTGCGGAGCCTCCTACCTTCACCAGGAATGCCACAGTACTCCTTACACTCCTTCTCCGAGTAGAATTTGTTGCCATTGCCCTGGCAGCCCCCATAGATGAAGCGGACGCACTTCCCCTTGACGGCATCAAACGCCCAGAGCTCGACGTAGGCTCGGCATGGCCCGGGGACTATGGGGAGGTTACAGGCCTCTGCGGGGCGGGGGGAAGGCAGAGAGCCTTAGAAAACCTCATGATCGCTGACCCGAGACCCCCGGCAGGGACCCTATCCCCTGGAACACCTAGACCTCTTCCTATCGATTGAGAAATCAGCCCCCTAGAAGACATACGTGCCGAGGGTCACCCACACCCAAGTGTTCAATTCCTATGCCTTCAGGAAACTGGCCCTGGAATTCCACCACCGGAGCATCCTCTCTCAGCTACCTGTGCAGTGGGCAGGTGGTCTGTTGGGAGGACAGGAGTGGGCAGTGCAAGGGAGGCGGAGATGGGGTGGCACTCACCCACGGTCCGGCAGGTCTGCAGACACTCCTTTTCCGAGAGGAAGTTGTTGCCATTCCCCATGCAGCCGCCATAATCGAACGTCTCGCAGGCCATGGATGTACCATTATAGAAATACCTCTTGAACAACCCCAGGCAAGGACCTTGTGAGTAGCCCAGCTGGCAGGAATCTGCAGAGGGGCAGAGCAGCAGTGCTCGCGGAGTGCTGACTGTGTGCCTGTCACCAGGCTGGACACGTCAACAGGTATCACCTCATTTAGTTTTCATCTCTGCATTCAGAGGAATCATTCTCAACCCTTTTTAAAGCTAAGGAAATTGACTCCCTGAGAGGTAAAGAGATTTCCTCAGGGTTACCTAGTGCTGAGATTCCAAGTCATATTTGTTGGACTCCCAAAAACCCATGCCATAATATGAGGCGTTGCCAATGACCCAGAGGCCCAGCATCCCCATTTGGTCTTGTCTGCCCAAGAGCTCTGTAAAGATGGTGGGTGAGGCTACATTCATCAGCATGCATGCTGGCAGCCTGACCTCTCTGCCAGATGTCCCAGCCCTGTGCCTTTGCTCTCATCATTCCTGCCCCTAGAATGCTAGAACGCCTCCCTCCATAAACCACACCTGGACATAACATGACTTCTCCTTCGTCCAGGAAGTCCTCCTTGACTACTTCACCCCTCCCTTTTCTGAGCTCCCTCAACTCTTTAGCTGACCCTCCTCTTTCAAGTTCCTTATTTTCTTCCTTGACTGCCTACTCTACTAGACCAGAAGGTGTGTTTGTCTCCATGATCCCAGTGCTCAGCAGGGGGTCTGGGGGCCAAGCAGGGTCAGGGTCCAGTGTTTGCTTAGAGTTGAAGAGTGATAGGTCTATCAACTACACATGTGCTCCCACAAGGGCCCCTGAGGTCAGCTCAGCAGGCTGTTATCCCATTGTACAGATGAGAAAACCAAGGCCAGGAGGCCACAAAGTGAAACAGGCCAAGAGCTCACTTCTCATCACAGAGCTGAACGTTTCTAAGCTCAGGGACCATGCCTTATGCTCCCCTCCCTCTCTCAACAATGTCTGGCACAGGGCAGAGGATGGGATTTGCCTTTTCTAGGCTCGGTTCTTCATTCTAGTAGAAGAATAAGAAAGACTTCATGGTGATGAGGGCAGCTGGAGTGAACCAATTGTGGGCCCTTCCTCTCTGGAGTGTGGCAGAAGGGGGTTTAAAAAAAAACAGAGAGTGATCCTCACCTTCTTTCTTGCTGAAATTAGTTACTGGTTGTCCAGCCCCCGAGCCTTCCTCTTCCTGGGTCAGCACAGCCCGCCGAGCCCTCTGGGGGAAAAAACAGAGGA